TTTGGCAGGTGGCCTTTGTGGCCAAGCGAGGCTGGAATTCTTTGAGTCAGCTTTTGGAAAGAAATTCTCGTCGTCAAGGGGTTAATAGTCATGGTAAATACGTGTATATTTGTTAAATGATCCCATTCCTGTAACTGGCAGTCCGTCCGCTGTTGGATGTGGTGAATAAAACAAATAAATAAACTAAATTATGAAATAAATAATCATTATCCCTGCGCATTGGGATCACATCATCTGAACATTCCTGAAAGCATATCAGCTCCCTTGGAAGTACATGTGTACCGGTACCAGAATGTATGTGTAGGTAACCATCCGATTGTAATGATTCTTTCTGTATTACCTTAATGGAGATCCTGTCCCGTTCAACATGCTTAATAAAGGATATTATTCAAAGCACATGTACAGTGTACATGTACCGGTGTTCATATCAATGTACAGATACATACATACATACATGTAGGTTGTATATACTGTACTTAACGGTGCATGTACTTTACACATGCCACATGTACTGTAGCTCCCCCACCAACATCTAACTTTCAAACATTCTGAAGTAGCGTTTTCAGAACAAATTTACCGAGAATGCATTTTGCATATAATGCATGTACATGTATATTGTATGTGTACATTGTTCATTTTATCATTCAGGTGCCAATGTGGTTTGTCTGCGTCTTTGGGGTAAGCGTTCATCCCCTTTCCTCCAAGCACTCCACTTTTGCTTTGCTGTTGGGGCATTTCTAGCCCCACTGCTGGCCGCCCCTTTCATCCCTACTGACATCATCTTGGCTACTAATAGAACGGCAGCAGTCCCAAAGACATCGTTTGTCCACACATGGGGAGAAGCAGGGACGACAAAACCAGTAGAACAAACAACGTTGTTAGAGAATGCTTCAACCGTCACCATAGGAGAGACAACAATCAGCACCACTGCGACCAGCATGACCAGTGCAAAGTCCGCCACCATGACCACAGCCATCACTACAAAGGACACCACAGTTAACAATGTACATGAAACCACCACCGCAAAAGATACGACAGTTGCCCCCATGGAGGGCGCCACAGCTAACGGCATAGAAAACGCCACAACTACACAGACAACAGAAAGGGAGGAATCAAACATGTCAAACCAGACAGTTCAAACTGCTGTCTCAACAGGTAGGCTACAGGTGTTAACATTTCCCTCCTCCAAAAAAAAAAAAAAAAAACCCGGGCAATATGATACAGCCAGTTGCCTCTTTGTCTGGAGGAGTGCTTTGAGTCTTTTGCAAAGGCAGCAAAACACCTTATTTGCCAAGGTTCACAAATACCACAGGGAAAGAAATGCAGGAGTGTGCCAATCAATGCTGCAAATGAAGTGGCAACCGTGAAAGCCCTTATCAGAGGAATCTTTGAATAAGTGCAAAAGGTTCCGGTACAAGCCCTCTGGAACTACATGTACATGTAAGTGCCATTACATGAAAAAATTGAGCAGTGGCGGCCGCCATAATATGATGAAGGAAGCTCGGCAGCAAAAGTCTGGGGAGGTCAGGCAGGTCTGGTGGCTGCAGGTTTAAATCTGGCTCCAGGTTCTCTGTCCACCTTTATAATTAAATGTAGTATTGTTTATTAGTCATTCTAGTGATGATATATGTACAAGTATATCATGAAGTTCTACAAGTAGTCAGCCACATGGTGCCGAGCAGTCCACAGGGGTGGATCCATGATTTTCTGGGTGGGGGGTGGAACTAAAGATTTTAGAGTCATGCCTGTAATGTTAGGGAGGTTGGTTAACTACCTGTCTCATTAATGGGGCTAGGTCCCGCCCTCTATTTTTCTGCCCCGTCCCTCTTTTTCATCTCTATTTATTTATGTATTTATTTTGTTGGTGAGAAGGGGGCATGTCCCCCCATGGATCAACCCCTTGTCCAGAGTAACTCGTTTAAAATTACACTTGATTGACACCACAGGAAATTCCACAGTTGCCACAACCAAGGGCGCTAGAAACATCACAACAACACCGACGACAGGGACAGAGGAATCAAATCAGACAGCGGTTACTACTTCTGTTTCAACAGGTAGGTTACAGGTGTTAACATTCCCCCCCTAAAAAAAAAAAACAACCAAAAACACAGGCAACATGATATCCCAAGTTGCCCCTTTATTTCTGCATCCGGAAGAGTGCTCTGGGTCTTTTGCACAGGCAGTGAAAGACCTATTTTGCTAAGCTTCACAAATACCACAGGGAAGGAAATGCAGGAGTGTGCCAATCAATGCTGGAAATGAAGTGGCAACGAAAGCCCTTATCAGAGGAATCTTTGAATAAGTGGGAGAAGCATTAGTTGAACAAAGCAATAAGACCAGATACCCCTATCAGCTGACTGTACATCGGCAAAGGGCACCCTTTTTATGTTCTATGGTTCTCATATTTTTTATACCTGAGGGAGGGTCAGTCACTCAAAAAATTAAAAAAAGGAAATGTTTAATTAATTAAAAAAAACAAGGCTGCTTCCATATTCAGTAGATGACTGAATAAACCAGGCAAAGTGCTCTGTGCGTACTGGACGTTAGCTTTTGTATCAAGTACCATGAGTGGAAGAGTAAACTGTGGAGCTATAGGTGCTGGAACAAGTCCTCTTGAACAAAGTCTTAACCTACAGTACATGCTCCGGTATTGTGTACTAACAAGTCAGTAGGATATTGTGTGGGGGTTTGTGTACTTTTTTCCGTTGACATTTTTCACTCAAAAATTGATATCATAAGGTTAACAGTGGAATCTTTTGATGTCCCATTAAGTAGGATATATTAATCATTTTACCCATATCATTGGCCAGAAATATACCACACTTGACTGTGACAAGTGTACATGTATTTAGAATGCATGCCGTTGCGGTACCATGCCGATTCAACATCACAACACACTTCGTTTGAGTCATTGTCAAGATAACGTACGTGTATGCAGTGTTCCCGTGTAGTGTGCACATTTCTATGGTGCTCTGTACTTGATTGTATGCTGTGCATTAATTGGGAGCAGTACGGCACTGTTTGTTCTGGTACTGATGCCGTGCCGTGGATTTCGACTGTAGCTGTGTTGATGTTTAGGCGAAGGGAACTGCACATGTACATTTTCAGTGCTGTTTTTATAGGCAAGATCCTCTTAGAAGGGTCGGTAGAAAAAAAAGCTTTGTTTAATCATTTTGGCAATCCACAGGGTCGGATCCAGAATTTCCAAGGGGGGTGGCATGAACTAAAAATTGTACTTAAGGTCATGGCCTTAAAATTAGGGAGGTTTGGTAACTTGAAGCAAAAGTGTTGTTTTATACGTCTTTGTTACATGTATGGGGCTGGGTCCCTTCCTCTGGTTTTTCTCACTTCCTCTTTTTCCTCTCTTTTTATTTACAATGTATATTTTCTTTTGTTGGTGAAAAAGGAGAGCATGTGCCCCATGTGCCCCCGGATTCAGCACCCGTGGTCCAGGGTAACTCATCTAAAAATGCACTTGTATGAGTGAAACATTTTTTCTATTTCTTGCAGCTAATCCCACTTCTGAAAGTCAAGTTGAGGTTTCTTCAGCGGTACCCCCAGGCCAGTTTCGAAATGTGTACATCATAATAGGAGTCTTCAGCATGCTGGTATCGACGAGTTTCTTCTACTTCTTCTGCACATCCCCAGTCAGACCACCACCATCATCAACTCCGGGGCAGTATGGAGACAGAGAGTCCAAGAACATGGATTTCAAGTACACTGTCCTGGGCCTGATGTTCCTATTTTACTTCCTGTATGTTGGGGCCGAGGTCACCTTCGGTGGCTACATCTTTACCTTTGCCACCCAAGCCCAGGACGGGAAACTGATGAATGAGACTTCCGCGTCCTTGCTGAACTCTGCCTTCTGGGGGTCCTTTGCTACCGGCCGGGGCCTGTCCATCTGCCTGGCCAGTGTTCTTGAGCCTCATATGATGCTGATCTTAGACATGGTCGGCTGCATCGCTTCCTCAATTGCCTTGTCCTGGTGTGGGGATACCAACAGCATAGTGCTCTGGGTGGGGACAGTGGTGCTGGGACTGTCCATGGCATCCTTGTTCCCAGCTGGTATCTCTTGGCTGGAGTCCTACCACAGAGTGACAGGGAGCATGGCCACCATCCTGGTTGTTGGCTCCGCTTTTGGTGAGATGGTCTTCCCTCTGCTAATGGGGTGGATGTTACGCAAGAAGGACATCAGGGAGGGATCAGGCTTCCTCCAGACAGGTCCCATTGGCCTAATGTACTTCATGCTAGCGACCTCGGGCTTAACGGCCATCATCTTCATTGTGATGCAGTACCTTGCCAAACAGCACGGGGTGGAGCAGACAAAGCCTGGGACCTCAAACCCGGCCCAGGATCTCAAGCTGGGTTTACATGAGGCCATCAACATGGAGGAATTGATTCCTAGAGGGAATGCCAAACAAAGCTCCAAGCCAATCATTCCCAAACCTCTACGCATCAAGAAACATACTGAATGAATATTCCAAATTCATCTTGTAGTAAGAGGATTTTGGAGTGGTGTCCTTTAAAAGCAAAGCTCTTGTTATCCATGTTCACACATCCTGTTAGATTTGGTTAAATTCCTTGTCCACGTCTCCTGGTCAGTAAATAAATTGACTACAACTACATGTAGGAGCACTTGTTCAACAGATAGTAATCTAATGCATGTGCCTCAGTTCTGTGTCTCAATGACCAGGGGTTAAGCTTTTCCTCTTTACTTGTTGAACATTTGGCAGTGAACTTGGCCAAAGTGTTCGAATTCAACATTGGTCACACTCTATGTTTGCCTTAGCTGTTGGTATACATGTCATTTCTTCAATTCCTGGCTATGTATTTGTTTTGACGGTTTGTTCCTGGGCGGTTGGAGACAAAATACATATATGTGGCTCAAGCATTGCATACTTTGGTTTCAAGGCAAATGGAATCCAAAGTTGGGTGATGCTTCGGGGTCGAGCTTTATTTGATAAATTTCCACGCTTTCTTATAACTTAAGTGAGTAATGCAGGTGCATTTTGGCCTTTTCATCAAAGGCCAATGTCTACAAATATACCCCAATACACCGATCCACCGAGAATTCATTTTACCAAGATGATGGTACCAAACTCACACATACATGCATAATACACATACAGTTGCAGGTGCATGTGACTTGTGGTGTGAGGTATCTATGCACTTTGAAAAACCACAAAACCCTGTTGGTCAAAGAGGCACGGGAAAACCTTCCAACGATCTGCGCATAACTTTAATAATTGGACCCGAATGGTTTCTGAGTCTAAATGCAGTACATGTCATCTGTTTCGTTGAGCCAGGGTGATAAATCGAAGTACTTTACTGATTGAGAATACGTCCAAAACCCCACGTGTACTGCGGATCACGAGAACATGACTGATGTATTGGCGTGACTTTGTGTACAAGGTTGTACAGCCACGCTGGTGATGTGCCGTGGGGAAGCATAGTGATGCACTATTTCTGCTGCAACCGCCATTTTGTTCAGAACGTTGCCTGTTCCTGTTTTTGACTGAGCCAATTTCGCTGTAATTTCGCCTTAACGGTGTCGGCGGATGGATGCCAGCAGTTTGGTTTTTTTTTAAAAGGTTTTCTTTCGTTCCAAAACATAGATCAGAAATTCGATTTTTGTGTACGATTTACGTAGCATCAGCAGGGAGAAAAATATGGAACATGCTTTGCGTGTGCGCATACGGTGTTTTCCGAATTCTGCATCGCCACAGGCATTGGAGACCCTGTATTTTCAGTTGTTACCCATTAGAGAATGAGACACATGTAGCTTTCTGAAATATCTCCTCAGAAATTTCAAGGCAAAATATGGTGCTCCCTACCATTTATTCATTTTTGTTCAATTTGTTCAACTGAACACTTAGTTGGTGAAGACAAGTCTCACTGTAATGAAACATATTGTGGCCCAGTAATTCGATGTCTTGCATTTGTACAATTTATGGACGTAGTGTAACAAAGCAACACGGGCGATTCACAATACAGAAAAAAGCACCTCCAAGAGTTTGCAACGCTTTGGCCAATCACGATGCACAAAATTTGTCGACCAAACAGAAGCGTGTTTAGTAGGGGTCGACAGATTTTGCGCGTTGTGATTTGCCATCGCGTTGCAAATTCCTGGAGGCGCACTATCGCCCGTACACAGCCGGGCAATAATTGTTCACTGGAAAATGTTACTTTGGGTTTTAGCATTACTGAAAGAAAATGAAAGGCTACGTGTACATGTATATTTGTTATTCCACTGTTTGACTGTGAATTTTTATTGATCGAACATTGATCACGTGATTTGCCGAAAGCGCGTTTACTCAGGGGTATGCGAGTGATAATTACTCCGAGGTACATGTACATTAGTGATGTACATGTATCCACTTTGATCTTTCCAGCTGTTGAAAGTAAGAACTCTCATTTATACCGTGTTGTATTATATTAGTGTGACCTCGATCGGGCATAATAGCCACATGTATGCTGGTACTGCGGTGCATCATTCCTAGTAGATGTACGTGTACCATATAGGGACACTAGTGAAGCGCTGCTACCACCGCCATGCCGCTTTTGTTCATATCGTTCCTTGATGTTTTGTTTGTCAGTTTTCCCCCAATTTTGCCGTAATTTCACCTCTGTAAGTTTAGAAGATGACAACAGGTCACCTTCAAAGAGGATGTTCCCTACCGATTCAAAAGATGTGATCAGAAAATGTGACTTTTGAATACATAGGACCGCATCAGCACAAAGAAAAACACTGAACTTTTCACACAAATTGTTCGTAAATTCTGCTCTGCATACCCCACAGTTCCAGCCGTTATCAGTGACAGAATTGGAAGGTTAACTGGCAAAATTCTTCGGAAATATCAACAAGAAGATGGTACTTCCTACCAGTTATTTGATTTATTCTACGAAGCTTTTCATTGTTGCTGACAATTTCAATGAAATGCATTGTTCTGCGATAAAACGTACATGTATTTCACTTAATACTGTTCCCTTGCTTGGTTTAAGCTATTACCTGTTACTGTGATATACTGAAACAATTGTTACTTGCTATGAAGGGCTTTGTATACCATTGGATTCAAATGTCACCCACGAATTGCGAACGATGTAATGTACGTGTACGCTGCTCCCACGAAAACACAAATCAGTGAAATGTCATGAGGGCTTACCAAGTAACCCGAAGGAAAAAAAACCAAAAAACAGATGTAGGCCTATATAAGAGGACAAAATGGTGAAAGAGTCCCACCTTTTTGATTAAGAGATTTCTCCATGTGTTATAGACTAAACGCAGTTTTTCTTTATTCCTGTGTTGTTAATGTTGGAGGACAAAAAGTTGAGAGGTTTTATGATTAATTATGGAAGATACACTTCAAAGACAGGTTCATTTTTCGCGGTTATGAGTACATGAACATGACGATTGCTGAATTAATCATGTAAATATATGATCTGCTTGCAAACTGCGACTACCTTTGCTTTCAGTTTGAAGCGCCTTTGTAGGTACAGTCTTCGGAAGGTGCTGCCATTGTATAATGTGGGCATGCGCAGTATTTAGGTGCTGATATCGTGAGACATACATGTTGTCTGTTCACTGTCCTTCCGTTGGTATTGAAACTGTTTTATATACTTCGAGATTGTTATTTTTTGTCGTTTGAATGGCCTTATACAGTTACACAGTCTTTGTTGCATTAACTATGGTTAAGAACAAGAGAAATTTAACTGAATCTTAGTGTCTGTTCTTGGATTTTAGGGGATTTTATTTTTGAAGGAATCGATTTCATAAGAATCAGTGTCAAGAAGTTGAAACAAAGCAGCTGCTGATTGCAGGAGATATTTCTCCTTTGCTTCTTAATCCTTTAAGCGTTGTCAATTGGTTTCAAATTTATACATGTACAATGTATATTGTGATTCAATTTGTAAATAATTGTTAATATTTCACAGAGCGTTGTATTAACTTCTTAGATTTCTTAAAGTGGGAAGTTTCACTACAAATTAAATCAAAATCAAGAAATACATGTACAGTGTACAAGCGAAGAGGTTACATACACCTGCACTGAAAAGATTCCATGACAGTCTTTCAAACCTGAATATTGTTCCCCCAATCAAATGCGTTCTGTGACCGGTAGAAACGAATAGGCACTCCATTATACCAGTTTCAACCCAACTTCGGTTTACAGAATATATGCTTTTTTTTAAACCTTACGTCAAAAGGTGTTGAAATGTGCTTGGTCAGAAGTGTGCATCTGCCGTCAGTATTTAGTAACTTAATGTTTAGCCCTATAACAGCAAATACGCAATATTTGTAGCCATATACATACTTGTGGCAGAAATCTAGCGAGATTTCTGGCCACATCTGGGTGCATCCGGGTTCATCTGGGACCTTTTTCTTCAGCTCTTTCCCGGATGTTCTCAATAGGGTTCAGATCAGGGATCCGGGAAGTTCACTCAGAGAATTAAATTTGCTCTTTTTGCTCCTAAAGTCGTGGTGTCTTGCTGGAAGAGCTAGTTTGCGCCAAGATACATGTACACCTTCTGGCAGGTGACCAGATTTTCCCTGGTGATTTGAAAATAGCCGCCATTCTTCATGATTATCCAACTTTTTGAGTGTCCCAGATCATTCGTAGCATTGCAGCCCCCGGGGGGGGGGCATGATACTGCCACCGTCATGCCTGGCAGTTGTTATGCTGTTGGGATCGAACGCTTCTGTACTTTCCACCAAACTTCAGAATTTCATCACCGGTGTTCAATTGTCCTTATCAGCTCATAGAACCTATCTGTAGAAGTCATTCCTTTATTGATCTTGGCCGAAACTTGAATCAAACTTGGATGTGGGCCTAAATTTGAAGAAGACGGTTGTTTATTACATGGTAGGTCCCGATGAGCCCGCATTACTCCCGAAAAAGAAAACACATTTTTTTTTGCGTGTACTTTTCGATCACAAGTAGGAAATAGTTTGGGCTTTTAGACCTTCATGCTGTGTAGACTGTTTTGAAGGATTTAGACTTGCCACACAGTGTTTGTACAGATTGCCTTGCAATGGAGAGGTTTTTTTGAAAACTCTTCCAATGATTCGGATTGAAGAGAAAAAGAGAGAACGTTTTGAACACATTTCTACGAAAGGGTAGATAAAATTATGCTGAATCTGACTTATCAAGATGTAAAGACGAGAGCCCGCCCATAGCTATCTGTTTTAGCCAGTGAAACAATGACCCGGGGAATATCTTTTGGCCCAAAACGTCGTCATGTTCTCAACGCAGGTGCACATAAATATTAGGCTGCAACTGTAGAAGCCAGTGCTGTTAAATGTAACTGTCCGTTACATGGCTCTGTGACAGACGGGGCGACCTCTCAAAATGCATGAATGTCTGAAGATAAACGCCGCATGCATGGTGGCACTGCCGTTATGGCGTCGCCTCTGATTTATACTTGATCAGAGATTTGGCAATTAGGCCTCACTTGGCCTTTGATAACGATTGGGCCCATGCCATTGTTTTGGTCTTCCCTATGGTTAGGCCTGTGTATTGTTAAGCCAACTGAATGTGTCAGTCATCTTTCCTGCGTCAGCATTGACTTGGCAAGTGTTTACGATTTGCTCCAAGTATTAGTGACCTGGCTTGTCATTTGTCAGTGATAACATTAATGACTCAATTCTTGTTAACATGTAATCACCTTTTAGATAATGCTAATGATAGTGCTCTTTTCTGATCTCGTTAAAGAAAGGATTGATTGGTATGCACAAGGAATGTCCGTTAGTTGCTCTTAATGATATTTGATAATTTGGGTGCAGTATTTTTCAGGATGATGCCTCTCTTGAACTTAGCTTGTTTGAATAAAGTTTACAATCAAGCGGGATTTTGTTCTTGAGCGTATCAGTTCATATTTTGATGAACAAGAGAACTTGAATCAAGCTTCACCAAATGACGTTATTACATGCATAATATCCAGCCTGAATGTAGGCTTATTCTGTTGACAGTACGGGCGATTCACAATAGTGAGCCTCCAAGAGTTTGCAACGCGTTGGCCAATGAAAATGCTCAAAATTTGTCGACCCAATGCGCTATATTCTTTTGTTTTAAGGGGCTAAACGTTAGTTGATTTACTGTTTTCCCCGTGTAGTTTAAAGTCTTTAAGGTCATCCATCTCGATTGCTTCTGTAGTAAACTGCATCTGTTGTGAACTGCATTTGTTGAACGAAATGCATTTGTCAATGAACCGCAGGTTGTTGCTGATCTGAGGACGCTGTATCCGGTCACAGTGGTTAAGTTTGAATCTTGTTTTCGATATGACACACGGATTGTAATGATCGGATCATTATATTATTAAGATCATAATTTTGTTTGTTAATTAATATGGGCGATTCACAATATATGTAGTGCGCCTCCAAGAGTTGCAACGCGTTGGCCAATCACAACACGCGAAATTTGTCGACCCTTTCTAAACGCGTGTTGGGTTGACAAATTTTGTGCACTGTGATTGGCCAACGCGTTGCAAACTTTTGGAGGTGCACTATTGTGAAACGCCCATATTGAAATGACTTTGTTGTAACGATTTACCAGTAATGGTTTATCCTGACGGCTCTGCATGATTGAACACATTGTCACTCAAAAGAATGTCCATTTTTGTTCTTTGCAGAACTGATTGATAAATTTGATGAATTTTAAAATGAAAATCTTCATACATTACACACCGGCTGCAACGTACACCCTTCTCTGTCCCTTCCCTAGGTCCACCAGTTCCCAAATAAGCCTCTATACTGACGTGTGGGAAGTTCAATGACAAAGTATGGATCAAACTGGTCATATCCCATGTTCTGGTAACTTAGACATGTACTCGAAGGGCCAGGGGCGTAGCAACCTGGTGTCTGGTGGGGGGCTGGTGCGGCACCCCCATAATTCCAGTCGGCTGATAGAGTTTCGGTCAGCAAATGAATCTAAAGTTAGTACATAAACAATATACGTTGCCCATTGGCATTTCCCGTGAAGAATAAAATGTAGCGTACCACGGATCACTTTGTGAATTTTACACGACACGAGGTTGCCGAACAAGTGACAAGTCGGCGAATTGGCTCTGTCACACCCCCCAAGAAAATCCCTCGCTACGCCACTGAGCCATTCCGCCTCGTTGTTGGAAGAAATGCACTCACTCTGGGATTCTCCAAAAGCCCTCACAAAACAAGTTATCCGCTAGATATAAACTAAAGACTTTTTGTTTGTACTAGTTACTTTTAGATGGTTACTTTTTGGACGTTGTACTAAGTTGCGAACTGATCGCGCACACGGCCACTCCAAAAGCCACTCCTTGCAAACGTCATAATGGCCCGAAATGTTGGCATTTGTACAGTTGTAAGTATACCATACCTCACAAACTGGACATGAATGGGCGGCACAATAGATTACCGCAGTGCAAAGGAGTTTGGGGTGTCTACTTCATGCATACACAGCGTACAGCAGTACATGCAATGCACAATTCCACATTAACATACAACAGCAACATTAAAAGACAGAAATATAGCCATCCCTCACCTGTGAGATTGAAGATTACAGGCCCATGTCCAGGCGTTTGTGATTTCAAGTTGCCGGACTCCTCTTTGAAAAATGCTGCAACTGCACCATTAAATTAAATTGCGAAATTTGGACCCTTATGCAAAAACAAGCCCATAGATAATAAAGAGCATGACGTGGTTAACGCACACTGTGCAATGCTTGCGAGTCCATATAAGGGAAAAAAAAACGACGGGGATTCTTGGGAATCCAAATTTCATACGTACGGTGGCACAAATTCGCCAATCGTACATTCAAGTCAATTGTTGCTCTTTTGACATACTGCATTCCTAGTTTGCTATAGTTCGCCGCATGTAATGGCCTTACTCGGCAAACTGTCATCACCGCATTACCACATCCGATACATTAATTGCCATTGCTCACTCAAAAAAAAAAAAAAAGGTTTTGTGTGAAATTGTGTCCGGCATGAAACCGTGTACTGCATGGGTCCGCCATGAACATCTGACCATTTCATTGCAAATACAGTGTAGTATTTTATCCCCCTTTGTGTAGGCCTACATTACATTGCATCGTTGCTATCCAGCAGTCCTGCCAACGTGGCATGAAAAGGTTCTTTTTTATTCTTATTTGTGCTTAAAAACTTGTGTTACTGTGTGGTATTTGGGCTGTAAATTGATATCAGGGTTATTTGGTTGGAGAGATCTAAACGTGTGTTGTTTTTATTTATTAATGAACACCATTAATACCGATGTAACACTTCCGCAGCAAAAGTGCACCAGCTGTGTATATGTGTTTTCTCTGCCTATTAATGAGAGCTTTGTGATTAATAGGCTGCTTCAGATATTAGTAAGGAACTGTAACGTAATGAAAGTCACGAGTACAAACACAAAGAAGAGAACCGACAGTGATTTGGCTGAAGATCAAAGCACTTAGCTAGAAGAGGGCAGCAACAGGAAATGGAGTTGGCAGTTGGACTTTGCAATGACCGGAGCATTATTATATTCCCTATGCATATTTTTCGATCGATAACGCACGATATTGAGAGGGTCAGTCCATATTGTTGAAACTACACGTGACAGCTAGCCTTTTGGGGACCTATTAATGTCACGGTTACGTGGGGGGTGTTGCCACCTTGACGTAGTGGGTCCGCTCAACTTTTAAATTGAGGACAGGAAACTGCTAGGTGATCACAGATTAATCAAAGAATAACATATGTATTCAGTACAACACGATGTTCTGTGATTGAATATCAGATTAGATTTAATTATTCAATCCAACAATTATGAGACAACATAGGCCACACTATAATATAAACATGGAGGAATATCTAAAATATGAGGATGACAATATCAGAAGTGTATTTGTTTATGAAGATGAGACTCCTAGTTGAGAATATACAGTTAGGTTTCTA